TTTTTTTTTTTAAAAAAAGGAGGTTTCTGAACTTTTAAACGCTGGGCGTGACAATACGAACAAAAAGATGGAAAAAACCAGTAGAAACTCTGAAATTATGGAGGCTATTGGAGATTTAAGAAACGTAGTTCTGCGAGGAATTATGTCATTAAAAAAGTTAATTTGTCTAGGTTAATGTTATAGTAAAGTGCTTTAAAAAGCGTTCTCAAATAGCGACATCAGACTTGAATCAGGAAAAAATGGATAAATATTGTGCATATTTGCTTTCTGAAGAACCGCTTCAGTAGGCAGAGGCCAATCAAAGCTGTTTTTGCTGCTCTACTTTTTTATGGTTTTTCAAAGTACGAAACTTTCTTAACCAAATCACTATTTCTTTTTTATCATTTATTGTCAAAGTAAATTCTTGTATCAGAAGCAGAGTTGTATTAGTTATCCAATAATTTGGCAACTGGTTGACTCCAGTGTCATTCAGAAATGCCAGCAAGAGTACTGACTTCTTAATTATGTCGAATCAAGTTTAATGGATAAGGAAGTTTTGTGAAATTGGAATGGTCTGAAACTTGTTCATGATGTACTGATCAAACCTAGATGAAACCAAGTCTTTATTTTTAGACGTGTAATTAAGTTTCGCAATTTTGGTGGACTGTCTGAAGATGTCTTGACTGACTGCATTTAAGTTGTTTGCTGATACGTGAAGACTAATTCCTGAAAAAAAAAAAGAGAACAACAATTTAGAACTAGTGCTGTTCCTGTTTACATTAAAAGTAGCAAATTTCTTCTCTCATTACTGCTGTCTTACTCAATGGTTACTCAGAGTTGGTTCTATTCAGATTTTTGAAACCAATGCGTTCAACTGTTGGGTTGTTCTCAATTTGTAATTTTTTGGCGAAGGTACTTGGAAACAAGAGTGGTTATACTTTTCATTTGTCACTCAGATACCTGCTGTGCTATTATTTACGATACCTGCCGGTTGTAAATTTAATAAATATTTGAAGAGTCACATATATAACAACTGATCGTAATTTCAATCTTTTGACAAATTATGTCTTTTTTTGCAGTTTTACCTACAGTTTTGCATTGTTATTAATCAACATGCTGCAGTTTCCTTATTTAATTTTGGTTTAAGACTTGTACGCCTAATTACGTTTATTGGAATTTAAAAATTTGAGTGCATCTGATCAATGACTTTTTAAAGCTGAGGCACAATGCGCCTGGAGTCGTTAACTTTTATTGATGCGGAACTTCCGCTCGGTAATGACCTTCAAATGAAACTTATAGCAAAACATGTAGCCACACAGTTACGGCCGAACTGGAATTCTAATAAAATATCTTTTGAAGTAAAAGTTTTTTGCGTTTTTTTGATAATTTCATTCTGTCATTACTGTTAAAGAAATTTCACTGCTAATAAAAGTTTAGAACTTACAGTGTTGTAAATTTGTTGAAAGGACTAAATTATTGATTTTGTAGACTTTTACCGCTGGTATTACCAATAAAGTTTTTTGCGTAATCCATAAATCTAACGAGGGATCTTCCAAAGAAGAACGCATGATTTTTCGAGTTTATGGAAAAAACACCGATAAAATTATTGATCGGTAGGTTTTTCAGTGCTTAGCTAGAAAGATTTACTTTTATCTCGAAGCTGAATCAGTTTCAACTATTACTGAAAAGATATTCAGTGTGGTCATTACATGCATTGTTAATGTTATTATCGACATTTGCATGGGTAAAATAATGATTAGGATAGCTATCAATAAATTTTTCAAGACTTAGCATGAAAATGATTGTTTTTTAACATTTTTAAGCTGAAACAAAATAATTGTATTTAGATGAATTTTTTTTTTTGTTTTATCACTGTTTAAGGACACCATTTTTGTAGAGAAGCAGAGCTGAAGAATTGGTTACGGCTTGCTGCAGTCGGCTGTGCCGCTCCGCTATATGGAACTTTCAACAACGGTCTTGTTTGCGGATATTTGCCTGGCAAGTCGCTAAAAGTGGAAGCCCTACGTGATTCTGATATTTATCCGTTAGTTTAAAGTCTTCCAATTCGTCGCTAAACTTTATTGCTTATTTATTGCTCACTAATTATTCACTTTTATAAGGTTAATTTTACTTTTTCACTCGTCTCTCTATATAGTTTTCCTCTGCTTCTTTCTCTTCCTTTGTGTAATATTATTACTTAAGAGTAGCTTAGATAGCCAACAATTTCGGTTAATTACAAACCATTTATTCCATCAACAGATCGGAATTTTTAACCTAGTTTTGTAGTCTTGTTTTATGAAGTCTTTCGCCTTTTTAACTGTCCTTTTCACATCTACATCAAGTAATGTCAGAGAGGCTGCGATTTATTGGAATACTTTGCAATATTAATTTTAGCGTACAGTTACGAAAAGCTTAGAGTTTAAATAGAAAATTTACGCATTTTATTATAAATTAATTTGCGCTTTGGCACTTACTCAGCTTTGTAGCAGTTTTTTTCTTTTTTTGTTTAACGTAAGTTTTGAAGTTTTAAAGTGAATAAATTAATTCTGAAAATGCGGTGGAAAGCAGTTCTTTTTAGAATATATAAACAAAGTACACTAAACCTAGAAACTTTTCAAAACACTGGAATAAAAACTTTTTAGTAAAGAGAGCCTCCTGAAGAGGCCGGGTAAATAAATGTACCTACCATACGAGGCAGTTTGGTTTATTGGTGGACGTTCCAAAAATTCTTTTAAAAAATTTTTTAGTTGTATGACAGAAATTGTAAAGGACGTTGTAATCAGCGTGATAAAGTCGTACGCTTCTGTCTTTTGATGACCTAACTTTTTGCATCTAACTTCTTGTAAAGCGATTTACATTTAACAACGATGAACAATCACGTAGCACTGTACAGCCTACTTCTCTTACTAATTTTAGGAGGATATGTAAAGCAATGTCAAGAATTCATCGAATACGTCCAAATGCTCCTGAAATGCCGTCATTTTATAAGCAAACTGAAAAATTTATCAAAAATTTCTCAACTAAGTTCTCAGTTAGTCTAAAATTTCACCTCGTTAATCATTATATTTTCGAAAGTTGTTTAATTAATGTTACGAAATATTACACTTGAGAGCTGTACTTAATGACATCTTAGCGCTTCCTTTTAGAATGAAGATATGCAAAGAAGATTTGATATCTTCGCTGCAAACTGTAATGTTTCGTTAATCAATGATTATTCCAAACTGAAGGAACTGATAAGTGTTATGAACAGCGACATCGTGTTTTGCCATAATGACCTACTTGTTCACAACATCGTGTACTGCGAAAATACAGGTGAGATTGATTCTTTTGACACGGACATTAGGTGCAGTGGTCTATTAGTGCAAAAAGAAAGCAAGAAATTGACAGTGTTATTTTAGGAAGTAGGTTTTAGAAACAGCCTGTTGTTGGCAGGCTTTTTGAGTAGTTTACCATAATCTCTACAGGCATTCCTTTACGGGTCTCTGTGAATGTGATAAAGCAATGAATTATTAGGAATTGGGACTCTCAGGAAATGTGACAGGATACCTTAGAAACACATTCTTGCTGCTATAAAATGTTCCTCAAACTGATGTGGCAGCAAAGTATGTTTTTGTTTCAAAGTCTGCTGGTTCGTCGCTCCTAATAAGATTCATTTTTATTTGATCATTTTTTTTCCTATAAAGCAAGACATTTTTTCTGGCAATTTAAAGATTTTGTCACTCCCTTTGGTATAAAAATAACACCAACCTCTTTGGTTCCGCTGTCTCTATTTGTATGTTAGATCTGATTTCTATAGCATTAGCCATTGCATGCATGCATTTTGTGCTCATGTTAACACTGGTTTTTTTTGCACGTAGTATTTAAGAATGAAATAAGTGATATGGTGTTTTACAACACTTTATTTTACATCCGGATCTACTAAAACAATTCACTCTGACAATTTTTCCTCTTTTTAGGTAAGCTCACATTTATCGACTATGAGTATGCTGACTTCAACTATCGATGTTTCGATATCGCAAATCATTTTAACGAATACGCCGGTTAGCAAATTTGTCATTCTGAAAGTTACCGTTATAGGTCGCACTGTTTGCAAGAATTTGGGACCAGAAACGCAACAGCGGCGCAAACCATAGTGCTGTAGCAGAGTTACTTGCTTCTTTTTACATGAAAATTTAAAAACAATGACTCCGTTGTACACGACGCTCTGTTATTGAAATTTTGAGGCCTGTAACTTTAAAATATGTTGCAAAGCAATTTTGTCCTTTTTTGTGCTAAAATGAGCTTTTAGGTGTTGAAGATGTTGATTACAGCCTTTGCCCAACTGATGATGAAAAACGCCAGTGGATCGAAAAGTATCTGGAGTACTATTTAAGGCGGAAACCTCTAGCAGACGAGGTAGACAAAATGCTCCAACAAATACCGCTTTTTGAGGCTGTAAGCCTTGAAACTTTCTTGAGAATAAGTTCTTTTACATGACTTAAATGGCTTAAGCAAACTTCTGACTTGTCGATCGCACGTGGTTGCTGGCAGGATTGATTTTTGAAGTATTTCAGGCTTCTCATTTCCTTTGGGCTGTCTGGGCTCTCGTTCAGTCGCAAATATCAACGATAGATTTCGACTATTTGGGGTTTGTTTACCAGTTTTTCTACCAGTTTGAGATACTAACTCTTGGCTGCTTTACTACTGGTAATATAACATTCCTCGCTGTCTTCTACATCTCTTGAAACTATGAACAGGTTACGATACATTATCTGACTGGTAGATGGTCAGCGGCGACTATTTCGCCCAATTGCAAATCTACAAATATTAAAGAACCTCGCTGCTACACCAGAAATTAGAAAAAAGTTGCACAGTTGACAGAATAAGATTTTGAAAATAACTTCCAATGAGGCTTTCAATGCAAATGTTTTAGTTGTGGCGTCTACTTTGTAGGCTAGTGACTTTCATCATAAACGCGTCGCTGAACCAGTTCACCATTTAAGCGAAGATTAGTTTTGAAAAATAAAGGATTTGTTTGCACTGTTTAGAGAAGTTCAATTATAAGCTGGCGTCAAAATCATTTGCCATTCATCTAAGTTCTATAGTTCTACGTAGAAAAAGGAGATGAGAAATTTACGAGCAATTCCAACTGTAGATGCAGCGCCGTTTTTAATGGGACCAAATTTTTGAGAAAACTGGTTCGCTGAAAACAGGCGATAAGTTTTCAGTTTTTTGTAGAACCAGCAGTGAGCTTTTGCATTTTGTAACATTTTCCATTCGTATAAATTCCGCTCAAAGTTTGGAATCGAAATGTTCATTGAACTAAATTACTAACTTTCTTGAGAAGTCTGGGAACTATTTGGTTTGTTGATGAATCAAGTTAATAAAGTTTTATATCTAAAAGCAAGAAATCAGTTTTGTTTACTTTTTTATCGACTGTGAAGTTTGAATGTAGCAGTTTGTGGAAAAGTTTAATACTTCCTAAATATGGAAGTTTATGGAGTGGATGCTTAAAAGACTTTATTGTGAAGGTATCCACGGTAAAAAAAATACCCGTAAGATTCTTACCTTCTAGGAACTGAGAATCCGACAAATAATTTCATGTCACTCTTCAAAGAATTATAGAACTTCAATAGAAGTGATATTTCATTTCGCTCATAAACATATTGTACGCAACAGAAAAGAATTTTTTGCGGCTTATTATTTAAAATAGGTTTTTTTTTTTCTTTTGGACCCTATTTTCTTCAATGTCTGGCAAGAGCAAACATCTCTAGCAATCGTTTTTCGAAACAAGATTTTTGAATACGTCTAGTAAATAAAATAGACTTGATCAGTACTTTCCACGTCAAGCAGTGTAAAACGCAGCGACCTTCAATAATTACTTTTTCAGATACAGATTTTTACCTGAAATTATAATTTTGTCAAATAAAGCGAGAATCTTATCTAACTTTTTATTAAAGAATATGGCTCTTGTATGTTTTCTCCCTTAGATCATACTTAACAAAACTAAGTCCAAGAGGTAATGTCAGATTAGTTCTCACTTGAAATAAGCCTTAAGTATGGAAATTCAGATACGCAATAACCCGATATGCAATGTTTCAAAAACGTCTAGAAGCCCATTGTCGGCTACACCGAGAAACGACAATGATTTTTTTAAACGACACTTCTGGTGACCGTCAGTTGTCTATAAGTGCGAACGGAAGCACGTGCTAAATTCCAGTTTTCTTCTTTGCTTATGTAAACTAATACTCCAATAACATTCACTGGTCTGATTTTCTGTGTGAAATGAAATATGCAACATTTACTCTTTCATTCACTTGAGTTTCTGTGATTTTTCTAAGCCATGTATGTGGCACAAATTGCTTCACCTTTACAACTAAACTTTAAATTGTTCATAATCTTCATGTTGTCAAAATAAAGTTATTTTATCATTCTACGTTTTGTTATACGAAAAAAATGAAAATAAAAAAATTTAGTAAAAATTGATTACAGAAATGTTTTCTCGACCACGAAAACCAGTAATTGACGGTGCTCAACAGAACAAGTTTTAATTACAACATAAAACAGTTCAGAAGTTGCGTAAAAGATTGACCTCTAAAAGATAAAATTAGTAGTATGAGTTGACGTAATATGGCTGGAAAAATTATCTGCCGTTAGAAACTTATATGAAGAAAAACTGGTTAACAAAAAAAAGCTGCAAATCTTCACAAATTTTTCAAAAGTGGTATCAAACGATGGCAGCTAATGTACCTCAATATGATGAAACAAGATGCTGCGATTATAAAAAGCAAAACTTGTAACTCTGGTTGTTTGCATCATATAAAGAGTTCTCAAAGACCAGAGAGCGGAAAGAAGTTAAACGCATTGCTTCAAGTGAGGTTAGGGCTGACAATTAATCTTTTTCGATCCATCCTTAAAGAAGAAAGTACGAGAAAAAAAAGCTGATTTTTGATTAAAATTAGAGTTGACAGCTTTTAGTTGCAAAGTACAACAATTACCCATCACAGAAAAGTTTATCAGAACTTTGGCTTTCACGAACATTCATGTGGTCAAATTACAAAAAAGTTAAAATGAGAAGAAACTAAACTGGTCAGTAACAAAACAGTGATTAAAATTACAGCTCAAATAATAGAGCCTAGTCAATCACAGATCAAGTAGAAGATTATAAAAAGATTGTCGATGATTGAAGTAAGGAACAATAGTTTCATATATAGCTAATGGTAGCAAGGTGTCAATAAAGTTTTAGGAGTGCACACTGTGAACTGCATTAACAGAACGTAGTAAATTACTGAATAGGTAATAAAGTTAAGTAAACAGTCAATCACTTCTTTTGTGTCTTAATAACTATAGTATCAAATATATGTACTGGCCATAGACTTGCAGTTCGTGCTACGCCTTTAAGAAAATACTGTATAAAACTAGGCAGATAACGATGCCTTAGATGCATTACTCAATGCTAAAAGTTATAGGAATTAAATTTTTAAAAAAAGAATAGTTTTTGTACTTTTACCTGGAGAAGTCTAGTGACTTCTGAGTTCTGTATCTATTACCATTGCTTCTGCTCTGTTTTCTGCTGCTAAGGCTGCTTTTCTGTTCCTGCCATTTATTTCACTAACTCTGCAATAAACCTGCTACTATTCGAACAAAAATTCCGCAAAAAAACTGAGCCATCTAAAAATAAAGTATTCTTGACAGGGTATCTAATACAAACTAACCATCTTGATTTTTAACATTTAGCACAGTCACAGGTCAACAAAAACTAATGGAACAGCAAGGCATTATTCAACGAAGAAATAAATAAATAAATAAACAAATAAAAAACTCAAAGACAGGAAGATCATGCAAAATTTATTAGTGCAGCGCAAAACAGTTCTTGTCTGCACAGCTGTCCCATACTACCTACTCTAGTCTGAACTGCTACCGCCACTATAACAAACTAGTCTCTGTAGCTGCTCAAAACGACTAATAAGATCAGCTCAAATGAAATTAAAAATGATAGAAAAAAAGATAAGAAGTACAGACTTACCTTAGCTGTTGCACCAAAAAATCAAAGAAAAACAAAAAAAGATTATTATTACAATAAACCTTTACTGTCAGTGTCATCAATTTCAACACTAGATAGTTACCACCGATAATTCTAAAATAACAAAGGTTTTACGTTAGACCGTTTGGGCGTAGTTCTCAGGCATCTCCAATTTAGTAATAAAAAATAGATGTATTAACGACTCAACGCATCCCCACCCAGCGATTTGAACAATGGAAGTCGATACAGCTAAAGATACTTTTTATTGGTTAGACATGTTTAAGATAACAGCCGATTAAGGAATTGAGCAGTAAGAAAGAATATTTTTAAGCATTTAATTTACGGAACAACATAAAGTCCATATAATCAATTAAGTTATAGTTCACTTTTAAACTACTTTTTATAACTCCAAATGACTGCATCTGGCAAGACAGCATTCAAAAGCAATCAAAAATTGTAAAAACAAGTCGTGTCCAACGCTTCAGCGCTGTCGCTACTTTTATGCAGAGAATGATCAGACAACTTCTGCCTCGCCTCAAAATGAATAAATACTGACTAAAGAACAAAAAGATGGCTGCTAGACGCAACCGAACTTTGGCTGCACTTAGCTGCAAAATGTAGCAGATGCCCATTTTACCAAACCTTATCCAAATTTTGATTTTAGGGAACTTATCTACTGAATTAAATAACATTTAAAACTGAATTAAGTTACCTTCCTTAAATGCAAAATAAGCGCTAAAATTACAGTTGAAATATTGTCGACTAGAAAATGAGCCAAAAATCAAGTGAGCAACTCTGAGATCGCCGACTGTTAAAGTATAAACAATTTGACACAGAACACACAACGACGATCTGTCAGCAAACATAAATTCAAGATTTAGGATTGAACAAGGCGATCTACAACAGCATCGTCATCTGTTCATTGGCCAAACTAAATCCAGCCGTTTCGCCCATGTTGAATTAGAAAGTGATTCACTTCAAGAAAGCCGGGAATTGCTAAAGATTAATAGAGAGGACGGTCGCGCGAACACGTGTCACTGTCGTCGTGCTATTTGCCAGGCATCAGATAGGCTACAAAACAGATCTTAAGGCGATTATTGGCTTTTACATTTCGAACTATTTTTTTTGCAGTGCAAAGACGGTTATGAATCTTTGCCTGCATAATCACATCAGAATTGCCTTGCTTGTTGCAGCTGTTTCTACTGTTATTTCACCAGTAGTAGCCGATGAAGATACAGGTTCAGTTTTATTGCCAACGAAATGCTTAATATTTTAATAAATGAAAACATATCGCAACGCCCTCAGTATATCAAAAAGTTACAGACTTTTACAGATATACCATGCGAGTATGCTTTCCTGAAAAAGTTGACAAAACCAGAGAAATTCTTTGTGGTTGGTCGAAATTCCGCTTGTAATGTATTTTTATTCACTAGTGATCGGCTTGGTGCTTTAGATGAATTTCTACTAGGGTACGATATTATAAATGAACAGGAATGTGCAGATGATATGAAACCTATGTTTTATATAAACAAAACAACAGGAAGTATGTTTTTTTTTTAAATATATTGCATAAAACTTTTTCCAGAAATTTTTAATAGCACCAAGCAGAAAAAGTGAGAATTAAAGTTGATAATAGCTATAAACGACCGTATTCAGAATGCCAAGTATTTCTCGCTAACTTCACGCATATATACCCGTTTGATTGTAAATGGGAGCTACACGACGACTATTTTTATACTTGTTCTTTTAAAGTAACAGGAGCAGAAATTATTAACATTTATAGTAACATCAAGAAACGATTTCTTTCTATTCACGAAAATGTGCGGGACAGCGACTTAATTAACATCTTTTTCACTTCAGACAACGGTAAAAATTGCAATGTTTCGACTTTTTTTACAACTACTTTTACTGATTTCTTTTGAAAAGAGGCTAAACAACCCGAGAACATTTGCCATTAATAATAAAAGTAAAGGACAACTACTGCAATTACTATTGCCAATATGCAGTTTACGTCCAGATAACTATCTTTATCAGACGCGTTACTCTCTGAAAACCAAAACAGTTACTTACTCATACAAGTACAAAATAAAGAATATCCGTTCTTTGGCTTATGATGTTGACCGAGATGTAAGTCTAGCTTAGTTAGTTGCATTATTTTTACCCTTTATTTTTCAATAAAATTCTCGTTCTTAGTTAGTACATTAACCAGGTGGCTATTTGAAAACCGAAAATCATTAAAATACAAGCAATTTTCTACTTTTTTCCTATCATTAATTTTGCACACTAGTCCGTTACTGACTCTACCAATTTTTATTTTTATTGTACCAATGTTATATTACAGTTACCAAAACAAGTTAACAATAATAGGTCCATCGAAAACGCTTACTAATCGTTTGTCAGTAAACCTTATCGTTTAGCTCACCTACGTTCTGGTAAAAGGGAAGCTGTATCTCCTATCAGAAGGCGAAAACGGGGCGATTTTCTTAGAGCAAGTAGTGGCCAATTTGGGCTTAGATGCTGAACAAATTTCAATCAGCCAAGACTACTTTATTTCCAGAGGAGCGGTAATTATTTAAAGCAGTAACCTTCCAGCTCATTGATTGTGAAAATGCGCTTGCAAGCTTCTCATCTCCTATGTTATAAAGAAGCTTCCTTTTAGTATGATGGATATGCATATGAGTTTACTGTCAGCAAGGTTAACTCAAAATCAAAGTATTGTCTCTATTATACTCGCGACAAGCAAACGAAAATGGAAATTATAGTGAGAGTTACTGGTAAAACTACTTTATATAATACCATATATGACTGCTTAACAAAGCGATCCCCGCTGCCTACTACCCCGCAACGGCCTCCGTCCACTGATTTTCAACCGTTTACGAAAGCCGTGCAGCAAGCGTCGTCTAAGAACAGTGGGAGGATAGTGGATGGTGAGCGTATAAACCGAACTCGTCATGAGAAACACTAAGATTGGTTCAACAGTATTGTACGGCAAGAATTGGCCCGGATTATCAGGCAAGATGTTCCAAACGTTGAACCAATAAAGTCAGTACAATCAACAACCGCTGATTATGTGAATTTACACCCTTTTTCTACTACCGTTGTTCCCTAACGCTGTGTCACAACTGTTTAACTGATCCATAATTTTTACGGAATACACAGCTGCTTCTGTATTATTTTTTTCGCGACTTACAATTTTTAATTCTTTTTACGTTTCTTATTTTTTTTTTTGTTTATGTGTAAAGGTTGGTTTTGGAATAGACAAAAGAAAAATCTTGTTTTTGGACAGTGCGTATTGGTAAATTAGCAGCCTTGTACAGATTGCTGAAATAATTTGTACGATTAGTAGACGGTTGAATAAAACCATTAGATGCTTTTAGAACCAAAGTCGAAATAACTGCTAAAAAAATTTTTAGCGCCGTGATGAAACTGTTAAAAAAACACCGGTTTTACAGTGAAATGCAGTCACACGAACAAAAGTGGAAAATTTTTTTGGAAAAAATCTAGCAAAACTTTTTGATTTATCGGACATTTGTTGTTTTGCTTATCTATCAGTCTAGTAAAATTGGGAAACGTATTTGAAAAGTTTTTTTATTCATGCTATCTGTTTCGTTCTTTTTTCTTACTAATTATTGCATTAACTAGTGGCCTCAACTTTTTCCTGCCCATTGGGGATTAGACAGGGAAGTGCAAAGTTTTCGAGTTGTATACGTATTACCATCCGCTTCTGAGTCGTATCTTCTGAAATGTCTTTTCTTTCAAAACTTGTTATCCAGGTCCGTGGACAGTTCTGTGTAAGTGAAGACCTGGAAGCCTATCCAGCGCAACGTGGTTAATAGACGATATTTCAAGACTTTAATGAACTGCAAAATTTTTAAACAATTCTTTAAAATGTAGACAACCTTCAACCAATGAGTAAAACCTTTCAAAGTAATTTGAATTGTTACTTCAACTTAACAAAAAAAAAGTGAAACGATTAATTAATTTATAAAGCCAGAAAGAAATACAGTGAAACTCTAGTTTCTTATTTGACCTTTATCGCCCTTTAATTTTTAAAAGCAAATAAGATAATCTTTGATATAGAAACTTAAACGTCACTACGAAAAACACACAATATAGCGTTTTTCGTTTGAAATACCTTTAAAAGTTTGAGCTTCTGACTAGGAGAAGTTTTGCTGTAGATGACGCACCTTCTGACGAACAATCTGAATTCAGGTTGGCAAGAGAAAAACCTAAAAACGCCTCAGTTGAGACAGGAAGCGGCATGCACAGTAGGGTATTCAAATGCAAAAAAAAAGTAGAACTTATTGAGTAGGCTAAAAGTAATACAACTAGGAAAGTAATCAGATATAAACTTCTTCGGTGAAACGAGGATCTTCTGATTATTCTATTAAAGAATCTCAGAAGCGTAATAAAATGGCAAAGTCAATCAAAATCGGCAAAATACAGTTTATCACTGCATCTATTCCTTTTAAAATTCCTTAAAGATGCTAAAATGCAGTACCTACTTCTGTTAATCGTATGCCCTCGATTCGTAATTTAAAGTAAAACAGCGATACGCAGTGAAGAGAGTTCTTTTTAATTTTTTTTTTTCTTTTAATGTTGTCCTCCATTTTCACTAGTCTCTGCGCTACATTTTAAAGTCAGCTACTAGGTGAAAAAACTCTTATCTTGAAAGAAAAAAAAAGTAATTTCCAAAAATACATATTATAATGTGTGACCTTCCTGTCAACAACTGCCAATTCATACTCTTTTGCTGTAAGTTACGCAAGAAAAAAAAAACCAAAAAAAAATTTTTGATTTTACTTTTTTATTGTTATGCAAAGCTTAAAACAAAGTCATAAGTAATAATTAAGAACAGCTTTACACAGACAGTAATTTTTATTTCTGGTAAAATTAAAACAAATTTTTGGATTTACCGGTGACCAACAGTTTGAAAATGCAATTTCAGAAATTAAAGACAGAAAACAATTTTGACCACCAAATTTCTTCTGTTATATTCCACTTTATTTTTACAGGTGTAACAAAAGTGACAAAAAAAAAAACAGAAAATTTAAGAATATCATTGGACTGTAGTTGAAATCCTACTAAAATAAAAAAAAAAAAAACTTGAGTTGTCAAGTTTGATACTCTCTCGAAGGATAAGTGGTCAACTAAAAGAAGCAGTTGATTAACGAATACGTTAGTAAGAATTTTTCTGCAGCATTATTAGAAAACAAGAGCTGATTTCTCCTCAACATCAACCAAAATAAAAAAAACCGTATCAAACAAGTCTTCCACTTTTAAATATTTGCGTAACAGAAGAACAGCTTTTAAAAGTATGATAAAAGTGAAAAATATACACCTGATGTTGTAGTGCTGTAACACTAAGCTTGTACAGAAGCGAATTAACAATTTTTTCGTGTTTTTTTTTTTTTAAATTTTGAATACTGACCAAAAAAAGAAGAACAATTTTTATTTTTTGACTTTAAGTCTAAATGTTTTTAACTACACTTGGCCTTCACATAAATGCTTATTAGAATTTCAACTTTTTAAAACAGTTATATATTGGGAGTTAAACGCCATAGTTGAACACTGCAGCTTAGCAAAGCCAAGAATTAAGCAGGAAACTAACAATGACGTTTATAATTGGAGCGAAAATTAACAATGCTTTAAATAACAAAAAACAATAGATTATCGGGTAAAAATTCAAGTCTTAACAGCGAATTATCTGAAATGTTAGAGTGCCGTTACCCGTTTTTTGGCTAAACTGAAAAATGCTCTTTTTATAAGTGCTGATTGTTTTTAATGAGTTTTTAAGTCTTAGTGAGTTGTTTTTTAGTGAGTTTTTTTTTTAAGGTTGCAAGTTTTTATTTATCTAGCTTGTTTAGAATCCGGTCAGTTTTTGCAACCGCTTTTGTTGCTCCTACATTAAGACTACCTCATAAAAACTAACGTTCACGTCCGTTGTCAATGAAAAGCTGATTGTTTTATTAAGCGAACGAATATTGCTAGCTTATCGTGTTTTAACTACCTACAGAAAACTGCAACTTGAATATAGTTGCGCTGAAAAACCTTTCAAACTAGCAGAACATGTACTATAAAAACCAATATTTTGTTTCAATAAACTATCAAAAAGCAATTCTTCTTTGTAAAAGCACTACAAAACATATTTTTACGAAGGCCTGATCAACATAGCTAGAAATTAAAGCTTACTGAATCTGTAGGTTTCTGTGTTTCATTCAGATTGTAAAGTATTTCTTGCTAATTTCACATAATATATTAGTTTGATGTGACAAATTTACGATCAGAATGACTATGCTTTTTCCTTCAAAACAACGAGAACAAAAATTATTAAAACAATGTCTTTGACGAAGAGTCAGCTTCATGGAGTTCTCAACACACAAGAGAATGATTTAATTATAATTTTTTTTCTTAAAGAAAACAGCAAAAACTTTAATGCTTCATCTTTCTTTCTAGGAGTGTTTTAGCTGACTTTTACTTAAAAATATATGAAACAAAAGAAATACTTCTTTAAATTTGCAAGCAGAAACAGTTTTTCGCGGCCATTACACAGAAAAAATTCGGTACCAGACACAATACCTCCTAAAAGATGAAAGATTTCCTGATGCTAACAAGCACTGTAGAGAACGTATTCCTTTGATAGCTAAATTGCTCATGTAAATTCAATACTTTTGATAGTATTATTCTTAAATTTTAAAGAAAAGTATTTCTTAATCACCTTGGAGGTCATTCTGCTTTCTGAAGACAGAAATTTAACATATTTCAGATGAGTTTCGCCTTCAGACTGTGATAGATTTGAGCGCCATACTTGTTTGCATTTCATTCCATTAAGGAGTTTATCTTTTTATGTCACTAGTTCAGCGTCAAAAATAATAAGATAACAATCATAAGTCTGCCAAAAAATGATTATTTCTTGTTGTCAATTCCAGTACCATATCGTTCCTAATGGCGAATTCTACGCCGATACCGACACCTCAGTTTTAACGTTGGAGCCGTCTATAGAATCAAGGTTGTTGTTGTCAAATCCCCGAACTGCCGGAAAAGTTATTATTGCGACCAATAGTTTTTCTCTGTTTTGAGCTCTGGACGTTGCGGAAATATGTTTAGATACCTTTGAGGAAGTTGATCCCAAAAGAAAGCATCTTGCAATGCTGCAGTTAAGCAATGCCTGCAAAACGGTCTTTCATGTTCTAATCTGTGAAAAGACTTCCTTGCAGGATTTGTCCAGTGACAATGCACTGTTTGCAGCTGACAAAATTTTTAAAAAAACCTATCATTCTCTTGCCCGCAGCACAGGTGGATTTTTGACAGTGCAAATTATAGCAGATCCAACAAACGGAGATACCTCTTGAAATATAAAGTATGAATGCATAACAAACACCGCCAACACCAAACAGGGCGAATAATCTATAAACCTCGAGCAGAAAGTTTTGAAGTCCAAAATCACACCAGTTAACGCTTTTATTACCACACAAACTTTAATCCCAAAATTTTTTTTTAGCGGTTCAGTATAAGAACTAAATTAATGTGTAATTCTAAAAAAGTCTATAGTCACTTTTTTCACTGTCTTTTTTGTCTTTTTTAAACTCGTACCTTTTACAGTGAAGATTTTAAAAATGTTTCAAAGCTGACTACGAAAAGTTCAGAGAAACTGTAGATGTAGTTACTGCACATTTTGATA